AAACTTGTCAAAATATTTTTTTAAGTAGGTAAATTTCCTCCACAAGTTACATGACTTTTCTAGAAACTATAAATTATAAGATTTTTCTAGAACTAAGTCTATGACACAAATAAATAGACATGAACTCATTCTTCATTTCATTCACTCCTCAATTCTCTCCCTCTCATGTTTTATACCAATAAATTTTTCGCCCTTTATTTCTAATTTGTGTCCTAAATATTATACGTACACTCCGGCATAGATCTCTTATTAGGAAGACCAATGATGCAGTTTTTTCCAACATTAATAACTTTATTTTTTATCAATTCTCTATATAATGATCCTATCTTTGTAAAATAATTATAAGACAAAGGTAAAATTCAATATTTCTTAGTTGACGTATCACTTCTAGGATTTGTCCATATAGCCAACTTTCAGCAAAATTCAACTATTCACGCTTTTCAAACACCCTAATGAATTAGTTAACATGTTAAATCCAATATCAATCACAATTGCATTTCTCAAAATGCCTAATCCAAAAGGAATGCAACCACTGAGCAAGCTCTGCAAGAACAAAATTTTCAATAATTTCGGAGCATGTTATGACCTTTCATTTGGTTCTCTTCAGACTTTTCAATTTCATGGTGTTGCTTTTTTTTTTTTGGATTGTAAAGATAATTTTTGAAGTATCTAATTTACTTGATTTCTCTTTTTATGTATAATCCAAAAACTTTACGTAACATATATGTCATTATATAATTTATTAAAAAACATATATTTATTTATTACTTTTAGTTTATCATTAGTTAAAAATCATTTTAAGAAAGTTATATAAATTATTATATTGACTACCTCATGTTAAATTATTGTCGTATATATTATATCAACTTTTGTTAATATTTTTAAATTATCATTCATTTGAGGTAAAACATTTATTCATCATATATATTAATTATTCTAAATATAATTCTTTCTTTACTATACTAAATTGTTCTCCTAATTTTAATAAATATATTTTACTATATAAGAAGAGGGAATAGCACACGCCTCTGCGTCGACACGTGTGCTTCCCTCAAATTGACCAAAAAAACATTCACACACAAGAGGAAAGTCCTCATTAATAGATCCATCTTAATTACCTAATCATAACCGTCCACGTGGCTTTCCTTTTCATTATTGGAAACTCAAATACACCCAATGGGTCCCACATATTATTCTAACCCTACAAAATACATTAAAAACATCATATTATAATGTCCCCATTCACTCATTCCTCTTTGTCCTCTTTCATTACTTTACTACAATATCCGTTTTCATTACTTT